TTGCCGTTATGTTGTACTCTGTGATCCCATCATCACATTTTTTCTGGAAGTGATTATGAAAGAAAAGGTATGAAAGCAACTTTTTCTCAGCTAGGCCAGACGTGCTATTTCTGCCTGAGGTTTATAAAAAAAGACAGGTAATTAAATAAAACTCTTCAAGGTAAGTTAAGTACTTTCATCACAGGTATAGAAGCCATCGTTGTTTTTCTTTTAAAGCGGTAATTTTATTCTAGAAACAACGGATTTTGGGAAGTATCACAGTTTCCAATTTTCGCTACAGGAACGAAGGAGCTGAAGGATGAAGAATTGATTGTTTATGTAAGTCATTTAAAATAACTCCGGAAAGTCATGAAAGGCAGGTTTCCTGACCGGATTGGCATAGAAATCCCGATTTAGATTTTAGATCCATTGGATAAACAGCTATGCAATGTTGGATTTCAAATCCAAAGATGTCTCATAGAGCTTCTAAGTGACACACTAACAAGATCCAACTTCACGCAGTATAAAAGGGTTTTTTACATAACGATGAATGCTCATCTCAGATATCCCAGACTTTGGGAAATATCTGAAATATATTTTATTAATTTTTCATCTACACACTTAATTCAAGGTGGATTCGGTAGAGTGGTTTCTTTAACCAAAATTGGAAACAGATTGGACATCACGGCAAGTGGTCACGGACTCACGCTGTCAGGGATGAAGCCGGGCATAAGCAAACTTGCTCAAGGACTCCAGGCTCAAGGATCGTATTGATCTCTAGATAAACGCGACTTGCCTTATAGTAAAAAGCAACCATTAAGTAAATACAAGATTAAATAATAATGAGGACTTTAGTGCAATTACAGGCAAGTGGCTTGAGGTTGGAGCTCAATAAATGCTAGGTTGAGGCCGTGAAATCTAAACTCGAGGTTTCTAATGGAAACAGAGTGACACCAACATTAAAATGTTTGTCGTCATAAAAGATCCCAATATGACTATTAGAAATCACAGATTGACGTATGTTACCCGTTGCGGATGGCTAAACTGGTGGTGCTCAACGGTGGAGGGCTATGAGAAATGAAATGTTTTATACAGGGTCCATGACTGGATAAAGGGTGGGGACACCTGTTCTAGAGGATAAGGCGGTACATTGGAGCAAGTTTCTGACAGTCATAGAGACGTTTAAAGCCGTTAATTCCCTTTGGAAATTTGTATAATGCGGTACTAAGGCGAAAGCTGTCAGATGCATGCATTTCGTATTGTCAGTACCATTAACCTTAAGCGGTATGCAATCATAAAAATAACTATTGGTGTGACCAAAGAAGCATGAGGTGCAAAATGAATGACGGAAATTCCACCACAATGTCCATAGCAGTCTTAAGCTCATGAATAATTGCTTTTATACACACAGGGCTAGCTTCACCCGGTTACTTGCTACAACCTCGGTGCAACGGAGGAAGCGAGGGGTAGAGTGATGTAACAAAGTTGTGAACGCTGATCCAAGCTGTGTCTGGTGACGCGTGGAGAAAGATGGT